GGGGCTCCCCCCGCCGGGTCCTGCAGGACCGGGTCAGGCATTGTTTTCTCGCCTATTGTTTCCGCCCTGCGCCCCCCACCCCAAGTTGAGGGAGTTTGGGGAGAGTCCGGGGAGCGGGCGGCGAACTCCCCGCGCCCCGCGCCGCGGTGTCGGGGCGATGTTTACCTGCGCGGCGTCCCCTCCCGCCCGGTTATTTTGGTCCCAGCTCCGGGAGGAAGAGGTCAAGGGGGGGTCATCCCCCCGCGCTTCCGGAGGCTGGGAGGAGCGCACTGGGGCGGGAGGAGCCGGTCCCGGGGGAGCACGGACTCCGGGCGCTCTCCGGGGAGGAGCGGCGACCGGGCGCGGGCGCGCGGGGGGCCGGAACGCGGGGAGGAGGCGCAGAGTTTCCCCCGGCAGCACATGGCTCGGAGTTAACTCCTTGAGGAATCTTGCCCAGGGCGCAGGCTGGCATCTCCCGCCCGCCTGGCACGGCTCGCCGGGCCCCCCCTTCCCGGGATAGCCCTTAAAGTGGTGGCTGCCCGCTCTTCCCGCCATGCGCCTCTCGGGGACCTGCCCCGCACCTGCCCCGGTTCTTGACTTTTGACCTGCACCTGTGATAGTTAAAAGACCGAGCGGGAGGTCCCTGGACCCCGACTTCCCTGCCCGGTCCCTTACTGGCCCTTTAAGAGGCGCCCCCCCCACAACAACAAAACGTGTTTGACGTTGACAAGTGGTGTTTCTCCTTCCTGACGGGTTCCGAGGCCGGGAGATATTGCCCAGGGGCGGGAGCCGAACCGGGTCCAGAAAAGACTTGAGGAGAAAATTTTCTACAAGTTTAAGGTTAAGGACTCAGGCTTCCCACCGGGTTTGCAGTTTAGTAATTCCGTCGTTGGGGGCCGGCCTTTTGCTGTTGGGCGTTGCTGGTGATCCCACTGTCTTAGAATGTGACCCCCACAGATTGGGGAGCAGCCCCCACCCCTGTTGGAACTGGCTCTAGACCTTTAGTTTTGTTTTGTCTATTTATGTATTTATTTTTTAGTTTTTGAGCGAGGGTCTTGCCGTGTGCTACAGGCATGCTTTGAACTCTATGAATTACCCAGGCTGTTCCTGAACTCCGTGATCCTCTTGTCTCAGCCTCCTGAGCGCTGGGGTTACAGGCTGGATTACAGGCATACGGAGCGCTAGTCCTCTAGACTCATTCCCTTCCCCCCAGTTCCTATGGGAAAAAGCGCTGGCTGACAGCTTTGCTCCCGACTCCTCCCCCACCCCTAGCTTGCTATGGCATCGTCCAGGTGCCGACGGGACCCTGGTTCTGCCGGAAGTGTGAATCTCAGGAGCGAGCAGCCAGGGTGGTGAGTTCCACGCCGCTCCCCTCCCCCCTCCCCTGAGTGGTTCCTGAGGCGGGGGAGACGACTGAGGCTGGGGGGACTCGGCTCTGTCACCCGCCCAGCCCCAGACTTCCTGTTCCTGCGTACCTATCACCAACCCCATCTCAGAGTGAGAGCATCCCTCCTTCTGCACTGGCGAGTGCGGTTTTTTGTTTGAACTTTTTTATTATGGGAAGTTTTCAAAGTTGCTAAAGTAGGAGGACCTCAAATCAGCTTCTGTCACCACTCGGGCTTCCTGAGCTCTCAGCCCCCGCCAGTTCCCCCCCCATCGTTTCACCTGGGCCCTCTGAGAGCTCAGGGTGGTCCTGCTTCCCGCATCCCCATTCCAGTCCCTGTGCTCCTTGCCTTGGCAGAGGTGTGAGCTGTGCCCGCACAAAGACGGAGCGTTGAAGAGGACTGACAATGGAGGTGAGGGGCTGGGCCCCTGCTACCTTCGGCAAGGTCCAGAGCCGTGGGGTGTAGGGGTCCCTGGGATCCCTCCGCACCCGTGGGGGGTGCCGGAGCAGTCTGCAGCGGGGGGTGGGGATGCCAAGGCCGGGCGGAGTCCCTGAGGCCTGCCCTGTGCTGCCCCAGGATGGGCGCACGTGGTGTGTGCCCTCTACATCCCCGAGGTGCAGTTCGCCAACGTGATCACCATGGAACCCATCGTGCTGCAGTACGTGCCCCACGACCGCTTTAACAAGGTCAGCAGCCCACAGGCCCTTCTGGTCGGAGCGTCCCTGCGTCCGTCAGGGGCCTCCTCAGTCCCGTGGAACTTGATTCTGTCCAGTCACCACCTCCGGGTAACTCAGGCGGTGGGCAGGCGTCTGGTGGCCCTGTGGACACACAGGCACACCCTGGTGCCCTGGCACTGCTGCCATCCAGAAGCGGGGCTAGCGGGTGCTTTCTAGCTGGCCGCACATGCAGTCTTTCACAGGACACTTCATTGAGTGCTTACTGTGTGTCACCTGGTGCAGGACCCCAAGCACGCTCTGTTCTGTACTGATTAAGACATATGCACTGGCCAGGTATGGTGGCATACAACCTGTTGTCCTAGCACTCTGGGAAGCTGAGGCAGGAGCATCCCAAGTTAGAGCCCAGCCAGGGCAACTGAGCGACTTAGTGAGACCCTGTCCCATAACAAAAAAGACAGTTGTGCTGCCTGGCAATGGAACTCATGTCCTTGTGTAAGGGGTTTTGTGTGAGAAGGTGTAAAAACCAATAAACAACACATAAAGTAAACCTGTGAAGGAAATAAAGTATCGAAGGAAGGAATTCCTGGTGGGGGCTTTCTTTAGTTCAGGCAGCCAAGGGTTGTGCTGGTGAGTTTTTCCAGTGCTAGGGATCAAACCCCGGGCCCAGTGCACATAAGGGGGGCACTCTTCCCCTGAGCTACATCTCCAGCTGGACAGGGCAGCCCAGGAAAGACAGTGATAGGCTGAGACCGAGAAGTGAGCAAAAGCCAGCTTTGAGAATGGGTCCCAGGTCCCAGGCCCCAGGCAGAAGTGGCACACACAGTGCCCCAGAGTGGGATGAGCTCCCCGTCACCAGGGAGCAAGACAGCCACGGCTGCTGGCCTCCGTGACACACTGAGGACTGTGCTGCGCAGTACTGTAGTCCCCGGCCACATGTGGCTGTGGACATCTGCTAGATTCTCAGTTGACAGTTCAGTCCCTCACTCACACTTGGTCTCATCTCAGAGGCTCAGCAGTGCTGGGACGGTTGGCTCCTGTCGTGGACAGAGCAGACCGGAGGACCCCATGTCCCTGTACCCGTCTGGGGGGTAGAGCATGGAATAAGGGGCAGCCCCGCGGTCCCTCAGCTGGCAGGACAGGGATCCGGGAGGCGGGGATGCTCACACTGTGTCGTGCAGACCTGCTACATATGCGAGGAGCAGGGCCGGGAAAGCAAGGCGGCCTCGGGAGCCTGCATGACCTGTAACCGCCACGGCTGCCGACAGGCCTTCCACGTCACCTGGTGAGAGCTGCCCCAGCGCCGGGAGTCCAGCGGATGTGTCCGCCTTCAGCCGTCCCCTGGGCCCTGGCAGGTGGAGGAGGAGGTGGCAGCTGCTCTGGTCTGGCCAGCCCGTCTTCCCTGACCGCTGTCACTTCTTCCTTGGTCAGCGCCCAGATGGCCGGCCTGTTGTGTGAGGAGGAGGTGCTGGAGGTGGACAACGTCAAGTACTGCGGCTACTGCAAGTACCACTTCAGCAAGATGGTGAGTGGTGGCGTCTGGGTGGGGCTGGGCGGGAGCCGGGCCCAGACCTTGCCCTAGAGGAGCCAGGCGGCCCAGCCTGCAAGACCGAGCTCAGGCCTGGCCAGTCACAACTTTAAGTTGGATGCAGCTAGAAATAAGACCAAGAGCCACCCGTTGTATGTGAAAGCCAACATCTGCCGTTCCCTGGCCTCTGCGCTGTTTTTTGCTGGCAGTAGTTTTGTTTGTTGAGACAGATGGTAAACTGAGGTTCTACAACCTACTGCACAGCTGCCAGCAGGCTTCAGAGCCCGCAGTCTGCTTGGAAAGCTGCTGGGGTCACGCAGCGCATGGGGAGGGCAGTGAGGTCTGCACACGGAGCAGCGGGGGCAGTCTGCTATGAGACAGGAGGCCTTGGGGCGGGCGAAGAGCATGCGAGGCTCCTGCCTGGCCTGGAGGGCTCTGTCCCTTGTCCCCTGCGCATGGTGGGAAGTGCAAGCTCCAGAAGCTGTGAAGCTCTGCTGCCAAGGCTGCAGCCCTGTCCACAGGAGTCTGCCGCCATCAGATTCGTCTTTTAGGAAGTTGGCCCTGGTGACTGCTAGGAGGCCGGGAAGGGCCGAGGCAGGCGGCAGGGAGACAGCTGGCTGGGGTGACTAAGGCTGGGTGCTGGGCCACTCCAGGTAGACTGGCGGGAGGAGAGGGGCACCCCAGCTTCTGTGGGCCGCACCCTCATCTTGGTCCACCCTGAAGGTTCCTGGTGCCTCTTGCTCTGGTGTCCAGATTAGCAGCCTCCTTTCCGTTCCCACGAGCGGCCGGAGTACGCGTTCACGGGGTTTCAGGGCTGCAGCGACTTGGGATGAGGTGCGCAGCTGGGTTGGGTTTGCAGCAGGTGCGGTGGAGCCTGTGAGCTTCGGGATGCACATGTGCAGGCAGGGTGAGCTGGAGCCGCCCAGCTTGCCCCCGGGACAGAGGAGCCAAGAAGAGAGAGGGTGGGCAGGGGAGCGACTGGGGTGGGTGAGGCCTGGAATTAGCCCCAGGGTTTGACAGCTAGGAGGGAGCTGGCAACCTGAGGGCAGCAGCTGCGGGCCTCTGACCGGGTGGGAATGCAGGGTGTTCGTGTGAAGGGAGGCACCGGCCGCCGGGCTGGAAGTAGACACAGAGCAGTATGTGCGGTGTTCAGATTTTTGTTATTTTGAGACAAGGTCTCGTTACATAGTTCAGGCAGACAGTGAACTCACTGTATAGCTCAGGCTGGCCTCGAACTCACAGTGATCCTCCTGCCTCAGCCGCCTGAGTGCTGGGATGACAGGCATGCGCTGCTGTGTCCAGCAGGCTGTTTTGGTTTTGTTACGCTGGAGCAACCTGTGTGTGGAGAGCAGGGGTGATGGTAGGGTGATGTGTGTGGAGGGCCTGCGAGGGTCCCTGTGCGTTTTCTTTTCTTTTCTTTTTTTTTTTTTTTTTTTTTTTTTTTTTTTTTTTTGTCTTTTTGAGGCAGGGTCTCGCTGTGCAGTTCTGGCTGGCCTTGAGCTCACTTTGTAGCCCAAGCTGGTCTCGAACTCGGAACAGTCCTCCTGCCTCAGCCTCCCGAGTGCTGGAATTACAGGGGGGCGCCACCACGCCCGGCTCCCTGTGCATCTTCTACCCAAGGGAAGCAAGCAGAAGTGGGCTGTGGGCCAGTGGGCCCAGGATGAGCTGGAAGATTCTGAGGACAGGGTAGGAGTAGAAAACGGGGCTTTAGGCCAGGACACCTCCCCCCCTCTTCCAGGTCTCAGTTGTTGAATCTGAACACTGCAAAAGGCAGTGGAGGAGCTGGGTGTGGCAGTGCACACCTGTCATTCCAGCATTCAGAGGCTGAGGCAGGAGGATCACTGTGAGTTTGAGGCTGTCCTGGGCTATATAGCAAGACCCGGTCTGAAAACACCACCACCAAAACAAAACTAAACTACCCAGCAGAGAAGCTGCAGGACTTGCAGACTTGCAGGTGGAGCAGAGCTCTGAGGCCAGGAGGTCTGGGCTGAGCGGGTGGGACCACCCCAGGGTCAGGGTCTTTAGACAGTGAGAGGAGGGGTGGGAAGTTGCTTCCAAATCTCTCCCCAGAAGACATCCCGGCACAGCAGCGGCGGAGGAGCAGGAGGAGCAGGAGGAGCAGGAGCAGGAGGCGGCAGTGGCAGTGGAGGTGGCAGTGGAGGTGGCAGCGGCAGTGGTGGCAGCAGCGGAAGTGGCACAGGGGGAGGTGGCAGTGGCTTCGTGGCTGGCAGGAGGAGCCGGTCAGCCTCACCCTCTGCCCAGCCAGAGAAGCACCCTGCCCACCACGAGCGGGGTCAGAAGAAGGTGAGGGCGCCCCACCGGCACATGGCACATGGACACCTGTCTCACACACGCGCACCCCAGCTCTCCCGAGGGCCCCACGGTGCCCCCAGCCCCTGGAGCCGATCCCTTCCTTCCCGCAAGGCCACTGTGGGGCAGGAGGGGCCGAGGAAGTGGAACATGAAGGTCCGGAAGGGGCCGTGAGACCTGGCCTCCCCGAGCTCTCTCCATGCCCCCCTACGACCATGTCCCCAGTTCCCCAGACCGGTCCTGCATACGTGCCTGTGTGCGTCCCTGCCGCACATCCCCGCGCCTGCCTCTCCGCGCAGCCCAGTCCCGCGTGGACACCCTTGCAGGTGCGGGCTCTGTGTCACTGGCTGATAATGGGACAGGCTATTTTTAGCAGGCAGGGAGGGCGAGGGGAGGGGCCCTGGGCTCTGGAGGAGCTTGGTGAGCTGCTCCTGTCCAGCCAGAGTCCCCGACCCTCAGGAGAACGTGGTTCCCGCTGCCATGTGTCATGTGCCGCCACCCTTGCGCGTCAGTGCCTGGTCGTCTCTCCCTCCCCAGAGTCGAAAGGACAAAGAGCGCCTTAAACAGAAGCACAAGAAGCGGCCTGAGTCCCCCGCCAGCATCCTGACCGCGCCTGCGGCCCCTGCTGCTGACAAGGTACCAGAGGGGGCTGCAAGGGGCACGGCGGCGGGTGGGGGTCCCTCGTACCCTCCCTCCCCTCCCCACCAAGCGCTGAGCCCCAGGGCTGGGCGCAGCCCACCTCTGTCTACCCCACGCTCACATCTGCCTCTCCACATTGGGCTCCTGCCTGCAGAGCGAGCCCGCCCTCCAGGGAGAGGCACAGGACCCCTCTACCAGAAGGGGACACCCCAAGTCTGCTGCCCAACCCAGATCCCACTCATGCAGGTTGGAAGGGCTGGAGTGCTGGCTGTGGTGGCGGACAGGCCCTTGGGTGACACGCTGGCACCCACACAGCAGGGGCACGTCTGGATGAGCAGGAGCCCGGCTGCCCTCGGCTAGGGAGCCGCTACTCCAGGCCAGGGCTGCCTCGCCCTCACTCAGCCTGGCTGCCTGTGAGCCTGGAGAAACTGCTTCCTCCTGTCCCGCCTGTCACCCCTGTCACCTCCACCACCCAGGACGCTTGGCAGAGCTTGGGGCACCCTAGCTGAGGCTCAGCTCTCAGGTTTCCAGGGTGACGTTGCTGTGGCAACTACCCCAGTCACCTCTCCCTTCCCTTCTCCCAGGTCTCCCCTGGGAGAGCATGTCCCTTGTGCCCCCAGCCTTTCTGGGGGCTTGGGGGTTCCGGGAACTCATGTCCCCCAGCTGTGCCCTGGGATCTGTCCCATCCCCCACCCCACAGTGCTCACTCCCCCCACAAAGTCCGCTGCTCCCAGCTCCATGCCACATCTGGCTGCCTTCAGAACTCCAGCTGCTGAAAAGAACAAAGAGGAAGACGGGCTAGGGCTTCGCTTGTGCTGGGAGGGGCAGCGCAGGGCACTCGCTCCTGGCCATGCTCCAGGAGGGAAGGGGGTGCACAGGGAGGGCTTCAGCTAATCTCGGAACGACCCCACGACACATGGGTATTCCATGAACCCGTTTAGTAAGTGAAGAAGCCAAGGGTCAGGGGTTAAGTAGTTAGCTTCAGAGCTCGCAGCGAGCAAGGGGTACGGAGGGCTCGAGCGTGGGCATCTGCCTGAGGCCTGTGCACTTCACCCCGTGAAGCACCATCTGCTGAGCATTGAGCAGACCGCACCCCCCAGCTCCTCAGAACTCCCCAAGTCCATGGACTTGTCCTGTGAGGACAAGAAGCTTAACTACACACCATGGTGTGGCCAGCTCCGGCCTGCCCTGCCCAGGTCCCTAGACTCCAGAATGGAGAGGACATTTCAGTGCAGTGTGGCAGCTACTGGCACACAGATGAGGATGTTCAGTGCCCTGGGAACAAGAAGGCCGATTGGCCAAGTGTGGCACACACTTAGAATGCTAGTGACTTAGGAGGCTGATGGAGGAGTGTTACAAGTTCGAGGCCAGCCTGTGGCAATTATGCAAGACCTTGACTCCAAATAAAAAAACTTGGGATAGGGGGCTGGGGATTTAGCTCAGCGGCAAAGCGCCTGCCTGGCAAGCGCAAGGTCGTGAGTTCGGTTCCTGTTACTGGAGAAAAACAAAAAACAAAACAAAACAAAAAAAAACCTGGGATATCTGGTGTGGAGGTGCGCACCTGTGACCCCTGCTCTCTTGATGCTGTGGCAGAGACTGCCTAAGTTCAAGACCAGCCTGGGCTACGTAGTGAGAGCCGATCTCAAAAGAAGGCTGGGAGAACTCCATGGTGGAGCCCTTGCCAAGCAAGCCCAAGGGCCTGGGTGCCATCCCCAGGACCACTAAAGAAAAGGCAGAGAGACTTTCCACTCTGTGCAGTCTGGGAGGCTTCACAGAAGTGGGGGTTCTGGGCTCGTTTGTATTTTTTGATTTTGTTTTATTTGGTTGGTTTTTTGAGACAGGGTTTCACTTGTAGTTTCCAGGTTGACCTTGAATTCCTGGCAATCCCCGTGCGCCAGCCTCCCGAGTGCCGGGATGATAGGCGAGCACCACCACGCCCGGCTCGTTTTTATGTGGCTGTCCCTGGGTCTGCCTCTTCCTCTCTGTCCTCTAGCAGGTCTCGTCCTCCCACCATGAGGCTGGCACTCAGGAGGCCTCAGAGAGCAGCAGGGACTCCAAGGGGAAAAAGTCTTCCAGCCACAGCCCGAGTCACAAGGCCAAGAAGCTGAGCAGCAGTGGGAAGGGTGCAAGCAGCTTCACCGCTGCTGCCTCCGCCTCTGGGGGGCCCTTCCAGCCTGCAGGTGAGTGCCAGGAGGCCGAGCTGCACACCTTGCCCTGGCTTTTCTAGCAAAGGCTTTTGCATAGCGATTTGCAGCTCATTTGCTTTTATTTATTTACTTAGGCTCTTTGAGACAGGGTCTCACTCTGTAGTAGAGGCTGGCCTTGAACTCACTGTTTAGCCAAGCCTGGCCTTGAACTTGCCACCATCCTCCTGCCTCAGCCTCCCAAGAGCTAGGATGACAGGTGTGCACCATCACGCCTGACTTGCATCTCATTTACTTTTATTCACTGGTGCAGGAGAAAGAGGGGAAATTCCCAGCCAAGGGCTCCTCTCTGGCCATTCCCCACCCTACCCTGGACCTGGAACTCCCCCCATCTGGAAGGACCCACAGCTGTGTTCTTTGCCCCGTACATGTGTGCTACAGACTTTGAAAGCACCAACATTAGTGTTGGTTCCTGTATCTACAGTCACCCAGTGGTGTTCCCAGGCTGGGAGTTTACTTATTTTTGAGACGGGGTCTCGCTGTATAGTCCAGGCTGACCTTCAACTCCCTATGTAGCCCAGGCCGGCCTTAAACTCAAGGTGATTCTCCTGCCTCAGCCTCCTGAGTGCTGGGATTACTGGCATGGGCTGCCACCCCCAGCTCTTTCCTCCATTTGTTATTGGTGGGCAAGCTTGGCAATGGGGGTCCTCATCCCAGGACACAGAGCTGGGCAGGGAGACTAGCCTCTGCTTCTCCCCCAAGTGCATGGCTGTGGGAGGGAGAGGGGTCCAAGCCTAGGCCTGATCCCCTTTCCTTTGCACCCAGGCTCCTCCCTGCAGAGCTCCCCTGACTTCTCCGCCTTCCCCAAGCTGGAGCAGTCGGAGGAGGACAAGTACTCCAAGCCCTCAGCCCCTGCCCCGTCGGCCCCACCCTCACCCTCGGCCCCAGAGCCCCCCAAGGCTGACCTCTTCGAGCAGAAGGTGGTCTTCTCTGGCTTTGGGCCCATCATGCGATTCTCCACCTCCGCCTCCAGCTCGGGCCGGGCCCGGGACCCCTCCCCTGGGGACTATAAGTCTCCCCACATTTCGGGTTCTGGGGCATCAGCTGGCACCCACAAGCGGATGCCTGCCCTGAGCACCACCCCTGCTCCGGCTGAGGAGCCCCTGGAGCCAGGGTTAAAGGAGAAGAAGCACAAGGCCAGTAAGAAGAGCCGGCATGGGCCAGGCCGGCCTAAGGGCAGCCGGAACAAGGAGGGTGCAGGCCCCCCAGCTGTCCCCACCCTGCCTGCTGCCCAGCTCGCTGGCTTCACCGCCACTGCAGCCTCCCCCTTCTCTGGGGGCTCCCTGGTCAGCTCCGGCCTGGGGGGTTTGGCCTCCCGCACCTTTGGACCTTCGGGGAGTTTACCCAGCCTGAGCCTGGAGTCCCCCCTGCTGGGGGCAGGTTAGTGACCCTGAGGATGGGGTGGGGACAGAGGCATAAACATGCAATCAGAAAGAAGATGCTAGAAACTGCTTCAAAGGGTGGGGCTGGTGATGCACACCTGTAATTCTTTTTGTTGTTGTTGTTTTTTGTTTTGTTTTGTTTTTTTCCAGTACCGGGAACTGAGCTCACGACCTTGCGCTTGCCAGGCAGGCGCTGTGCCGCTGAGCTAAATCCCCAGCCCCGCACACCTGTAATTCTAGCACTGTAGGAGGCGGAGGCAGTGAGATCACAAGTCCTAAGCCCTATCTCAAAAGGGGAGCCAGGGATATAGCTTAGCAACACAGCACCTGCCTGGCAAGCACAAGGTCGTGGGTTCGATTTCTGGTACCAAAAAAGAGACAGTAATAAAAGGGGCTGAAGATGTAGCTCAGTGTGAAGGCCCTAGGTTCAATCCCCAGTACTACAAAAGCAAAAAGGAGGAGCTGGGGATTTAGCTCAGCAGCACAGCGCCTGCCTGGCAAGTTCGATTCCCGGTACCAGAAGAAAACCAAACAAACAAAGAAAAGCAAAAAGGAGAGGGAGAGAAAGCAAGCTTGCTTCAAAGAAAGGACGGAGGTGACAGTCACCTCAACACACGTCCCTGTACCAGTCCCCTGTGTGGTTGTCCTGGGAGATCGTGGCGGTCATTGTAGGAGGGCCTCAGCAGGTTTGGGGGACAAAGCAGTGTAGTGCAAGCCGTATATCTCAAGCCGTGTCACCCCAGCACGAGGCCCATTAGACAGGTGTGTGTCCAGGTCTCGGGTGTCCCAGCCATCCTAGCCCCTGATGAGGTGACTGTTCCCTTTGTTCCCATGCCTGTAGGCATCTATACCAGTAATAAGGATCCCATCTCCCATGGTGGCAGCATGCTACGGGCTGTGTGCAGCACCCCCCTGTCCTCTAGCCTGCTGGGCCCCGCGGGCACCTCGGCCCTGCCCCGGCTCAGCCGCTCCCCATACACCAGCACCCTGCCCTCTTCCTCCGCGGCTATCTCCACCACTCAGGTGAAGCCCTGCTCTGCCTCTGCCTCCTCCTCCTCGGGGTCACGGGGTGCCTTGGACCTGGTGAGAACCACCCCGCCGGTGCCCCTTCTCAGGTGTTCCCCCTGGCCGGCTCTACCTTCAGCCTCCCCTCTGCCCACATCTTCGGGACCTCGGTAGGTGCCGTGAACCCGATGCTCCCCCAGGCCGAGAGCAGCCACACAGGTAGGAGCCTGGGCCCTGCTGTACTCCTCCCCCAGGCCTGAGCGCTGTGGCCTCCTCCCTCTGGCCAGCGCCCGCCCAATGGGAAGGAAATGAAACAAAACTTAACAGGACAAACGGGGGGGGGGGGGGCTGGGCAGGAACATTGCAAGTTCAAGACCAGCCAGGGCCATGTATGGAGAGCCAGTCTCCAAACGAAGGTTGGGGATGCAGCCCAGCTTTTCTGAGGGGCTGGGTTCCAAAACCAAAACAGAAGGGGCCAGCAGGGCAGAATTGCTACTCCATCTCCCAGGAGGAGGCGGCAGGGGAATCGTGCTCAGGGCATGGGCCAGGTCCAGCGCCCCTGTAGCATCGCCGCCCCCTCGGCGGTGTGTTCTCCGGAGCGGAATTCCGAGGCTCCCCGTCTCCCCAGGGCTGCCAGCCTGTGGGTCCGCAGGACCTAAGGGGCTGTCCAGAGCACCCTCCCCTGTCCCTGGAATCAGCCCAGCCCCTGGGAGCTGATTGGTGGTTGTGCACCACCTTTCAGTGTGGGGGCGGAGCTTATCTCCATGTCTCCAGTACTGGTAAACTTTAAAAGGGCCAGAGGCGGCACACGTGTGTAATCTCAACACTCTGGGAAGCTGAGGCTGGAGGTTCTCAAGTTCAAGCCTGGCCCGCGCAACTCCGTGAGACCTTGTCTCAAACAACGAAGAAAAGAGGGGTGGTGCTGAGGATGCCGCTCAGAGAGAAGGCCCTGGTTCAGTACCAAAGGGGGGATTCTAGTTTTAAGACCCAATAGTAGTATTTTCTAAAACCCAGAGTAGGATTCTGTGGCTTGAAAGTTTTGCCTTCTTCTTTGGGATTTTATGAATAATACGAGTTATTAAAGGCTGCTGCTTGCCAGCCAAGCCCTCCAGGTAAACACTTCGCGTTATTCCCTTACTTCGGTCCTACTAGGAACCACTTTAGGTAGGAGGTCACCCAAGCGAGGTAGTGTCAGATTGCAGCTCAATCCAGGTTGGTGTCCACCTCAAATCGTAGTAACTGTGAAACTGAAAGGTGCATCTGAGGGAGCCCCCACACGGCAGCGTTTCCAAGCCCCGCTCCCCCTCGCCTCTGGGATTGGGTTCCGAGGAGGGGGTCTCCGCTGAGGTCCCAGATTCCTCATCCACTGCCCAGGCTTGGGACCTTATGTCTGACAGCCCCCTCCCCCGCTGACCCTTGCCCTCCCTTCTTCCAAGAGCCAGACCTGGAGGACTGCAGCTTCCGGTGTCGGGGGACCTCACCCCAGGAGAGTCTGTCTTCCATGTGAGGGAGGGGGCGGCGGCTGGGGGAGGGTACAGGGAGGGGGCGGGGCCGGGCTGGAACCCCCCGAGGGGGAGGGGGTCTGCCGCGGGGCGAGAGGAGCCTGAACCCGCCTTCACTCCCGGACTCAGGTCCCCCATCAGCAGCCTCCCTGCACTCTTCGACCAGACCGCGTCTGCACCATGCGGGAGCGTCCAGCTAGACCCGGCGGCCCCGGGGACGGCTAACATGGAGCAGCTGCTGGAGAAGCAGGGCGACGGCGAGGCCGGCGTCAACAGTGAGGAGGGTGGCGCCGGGCGGGCGGGAGACCCGCCCTCTTCCCGCCCCCGGCCGCACACCTGTGGCCTCCGGGCGCTGCACGGGCTCAGCATCCTCGAGGCCCCGCCCTGCAGGGTCCAGCGGGAGAGCGGGCCCCGCCCTAGTCTTCCATTGGGCTATCTGTGGGACCGCCCCCTTGGGCGGGGCCTGAGACCCCCTGGCTCCCTTTCCGCAGTTGTGGAGATGCTGAAGGCGCTGCACGCGCTGCAGAAGGAAAACCAGCGGCTGCAGGAGCAGATCCTGAGCCTGACGGCCAAGAAGGAGCGGCTGCAGATTCTCAACGTGCAGCTCTCCGTGCCCTTCCCCACCCTGCCTGCTGCCCTGCCTTCCGCCAACGGCCCTCTAGCTGGGCCCTACGGCCTGCTCCCCCAAGGTGAGGGCTCGGTCCAGCCCAGAGGTGGAGGTCCCGGGCTGGCGGCTGGCTCGAGCCCCTTCCAGCCCTGACCTCCCTCCTCCCTCAGCCAGCAGCAGCGACTCCCTGAGCACCAGCAAGAGCCCTCCGGGCAAGACCAGCCTTGGCCTGGACAACTCGCTGTCCACGTCTTCGGAGGTGGGCGCCATGGGGACAGGGCGGCGGGGGGAACTGCGGGTCCCCGTCCGTCTCTATCCTGCGCCTCCTGGGGCCTGGGCAGCAAAGTGATGGGTTCATCCCCTCGCCTCTTTACGAGGCCCTGCTCAGGGTCGGTCCCGGGCTGGGGCTCCGTGAGCAACGCCTACACGGGCCTTCCGGAGAGGAGCTACGCCTAGAGCCAGGGCCGGGCGGGCAGCGCGCTGAGGGCCGTGAGGGAGCGGGGCAGGGATCCTCTGGACGCCGGCCTGCTGGGGAGGCCCTGGGAGAAGAGTTCTGAAGCGGGTATTACAGCGCCTCACGCGGAGTAATCCCTGCGTAATTGGTGGTGGTTGGAGTAGCAGTTGCTATTGTTATGTTGTGGTTATTATTGGACTCCAACAAACTGGGCTCTTGTTCTCTCTCTGCCACTTACCAACTGGGACTTAGGCAGTCATGGCCATAACAATGGCTAACATTAATTGCCCGCCTGCCCTCCGTGGGGCCCATTAGTTTATTTAATCTGCACAATGATCCTACAGAATTGGAACTACTGTTACCCTCAGTCAGGAGTGAGTGAGCTAAATTGAACCCGCGGCCACCAAGCCTCTGCCGCGTAGACGGCTTTTCGGCCCAGCCTTGGTGTTTAGCTCATCATAAAGTGGGGGTTACAGGTGTCTAGGGCAAGCCCCGCCCTCTGGGTCCGGATCACTGCCATTTCCGTTGTTTCTGGGTAACCAAGGGTGGCAGGGACGCCGGGTTCCCAGGAGGTGGGCAGTGACATGGCCTTTGGAGGGGGTTTGGAGTCTCAGCCTTTCTTCCCGGCCTGACTTCTTCCTGGGGTGCCTTCTGCTGCGGAGGGGGGAACCGTGCCGTGGTGGGGGCCAGGCAGGTCGCGATCGTCCTCTGACCCCCGCTCCCCTCCCCCCAGGACCCACACTCAGGCTGCCCGAGCCGCAGCAGCTCGTCACTGTCCTTCCACAGCACGCCCCCGCCGCTGCCCCTCCTCCAGCAGAGCCCGGCCGCCCTGCCCCTGGCCCTGCCCGGGGCCCCCGCGCCACTCCCACCCCAGCCGCAGAATGGGCTTGGCCGGGCACCGGGGCCGGCAGGGCTGGGGGCTGTGCCTGTGGCTGAGGGGCTGCTGGGGGGGCTGGCCGGCAGCGGGGGCCTGCCCCTCAATGGGCTCCTGGGGGGGCTGAATGGGGCTGCCGCCCCCAACCCTGCAGGCTTGAGCCAGGCTGGTGGGACCCCCACGCTGCAGCTGCCAGGCTGTCTCAACAGGTGAGGGGCGCTCTGCCCTGGGAGCTCACTCAAGGCTGAGTGGGGAGGGTCTGCCACACGTTTTCAGAAAGGAGAATGTCCACTGGCCCCACGGGTGACGGCCCTACTGTGCTGCCAACTTCTGGAAACCCTAGACTGTCACCCCTCAGTGCCTTAGGAGTCCCTCCTCCGTCTCCCTCCTGGGACAGCTCCCCCTTCCTGTGCCTTACCCGCCTTCCACCTCGATGTGTTTCTCGCCTCCCTCTGAGGTCTGCCCTTCCAGCCGCACCTCCTGCCTCTCACCCTGTCCGAGGGAGTAAGGGAGCTTGTAGGGTGGAGGTGTGTGGCCGATCCCTCCCAACAGGCCTGTCTGTCCCACCTCAGCCTCACTGAGCAGCAGAGACACCTCCTGCAGCAGCAAGATCAGCAGCTCCAGCAGCTCCAGCAGCTCCTGGCCTCTCCGCAGCTGACCCCGGTACTGTGTCCCTCACCTATGCTGCTAGATCTAGGCCAGCCGGGTGGGGGATCAGTGTGGGGCAGGGATCAAGCCTGGGGTGGCAGGCAAGGGGTGAGGCCATGCCTAGGATCCCCTGGCCACTGGGCAAAGGGTGCTGCCAGGACCCCAGATCTTACCTCAGGGAGAGGGGAACTGAGCGCTAGAGTCCCAACTCTGGGTCACCAGGGGATCCCAGGGTCCCGGAGAAGGTGACTCTACCCCAGCCAGAGCAGTTTTTTGGAGGTCTCCACTTGCCTTGTGCTCTTTCAAATTTCATTCCAAGAAAAAGATTTTGCCTTTTAAAAGTGAGGGAAGCTGGGCGTGGTGGCACATGCCTGTAAGCCCAGCACTCGGAAGGCTGAGGCAGGAGGATTGCTGCGAGTTCGAGACCAGTGTGGGCTACAAAGTGAGCTCAAGACCAGCCTGAACTGCATAGCAAAATCCTGTCTCAAAAAAAAAAAAGAGGGCTGGGGATTTAGATCAGGGGCAAAAAGCGCCTGCCTGGCAAGCGCAAGGTCGTGAGTTCGGTTCCCGGTACCGGAGAAAAACCAAAAAAAAACCAAAACAAACAAACAAAAAAAGAGCTGGGCATATAGCTCAGTGGCCTCAGTGCTTGCCTGGCAAGCCTGAGATCATGAGTTCGATTCCCGGTACCAAAAAAAAAAAAAAAAGACAAAGAAAAAGTGAGGGAGAGGAAAGGTGGACATGGTGGTGACATGGACACATGCCTACAGTCCCAGCACTCTGGGAGGCTGACGTAGGAGGCTCACAGGCTCAAGGCTAGCCTGACAACTTTTTGACTTATAGCAAGACACTGTCCCAAAGAAAAAATAATAAAGTAATATGGCCAGGGATATAGCCCAGTGGCACAGTGCCTGTCTGGCAAGCACAAGATCCTGAGTTCGATTTCCGGTACCAAAAAAAAAAGGTAATAAAAAACTGGAGATGTCACTCAGTGATACAGTTTTTGCTTATGTATATGTATGAATCTGTTTCAATCTCTACAACCACAAAAAACAAAAATGAAGGGATGAAGAAAATAGATGTTAACATTTTCATATAAAAAAACTAGAAAGACCAGAAAACAGCTGATTATTTATGGGACCAGATGAGAACAAGAACAGCAAGATATTTGTAAGATAGATTTTGACCCATTATTTTGACCTTAGGAACACAGAGTGTTTTGTTATCCAAAAGTAACAAGGGGGCTAGGGATTTAGCTCAGTGGCATAGCACCTGCCTGTTAAGTGCAAGGTTGCAAGTTCGATTCCTGGTACCGGGAAAAAACAAACAAACAAAAAAAGTAACAATAAAAGGATGAAACTAGTGTTAGCTGGTCATGGTGATGCACATCTATAATCCCAGCACTTGGGAGGCTCAGGCAGGAGGACTACCCTACCTCAAAAGAACCAAAAAGAAAAGGAAAATTGGTGTTTTTAACTTGCACCTTTGGAGCATTTGTGATTGTTATAGCAACAGAGGACTTACTTAGTGGGCGGGGCTGGTTATGTCACAGTCCTGCACTTGGCCAGCAGTCCCCAGTTGACAGATGCTAACTGCGTATAGCAATTTTCTTCTTTTCTTTTGCTTTTGTGTGTCTGTGTGGGTGTTTTTGTTTTGTTTGTTTTTTGTCTTTTTGAGACAGGGTCTCACTATGCAGTTCAGGCTGGCCTTGAGCTCACTTTTTAGCCCAGGCTGGCCTCAAACTCATAATGATCATCCTGCCTTAGCCTCTCAAGTGTTGGGATTATAGGCATGCGCCACCACGCCCATCCTTTTTTTGTTTTTTTCTCTATCTTTTTTGAGACAGGGTTTCTCTATGTAGTTCAGGCTGGTCTTGAACTCACTTTGTAGCTGGCCTCAAACTCACAGCAATCCTCCTGCCTCAACTTGCTGATTCCTGAGATTATTAGGCACGCACTACCAGGCCTGGTTTGTGTGATGTTTTGAGAGAGGGTCTTGCTGTGTAGTTCAGGTTGCCTTTGAAGTCCCTATGTTACCAAGGCTGACCTCAAATTCCTCAGCCCTCCTGCCTCAGCCTCCTGAGTCATGGGATCACTGGCACATGCCACCATGTTTGTTTTCTTGTCCAGGAGGGGAGACTGAGGCCTAGAGTGGGATGTTAAGAGATATAACCCTGATGCCCCCCATTCCTCATGGCTCCAGGGTGGTGGGCAGGGCAGGCTGGCAGTGCAGGGAGGGACCATAAGGAGCGGTTGGCCCCTTGCAGGAGCACCAGACCGTGGTCTACCAGATGATCCAGCAGGTGCAGCAGAAGCGGGAGCTGCAGCGGCTGCAGATGGCTGGGGGCTCCCAGCTGCCCATGGCCGGCCTACTGGCCGGAAGCTCTGCCCCGCTGCTGTCAGCCGCGTCCGCGCCAGCCCTGCTGCCTGCTGGAGCCCTGGTGGCCCCCTCGCTGGGCAGCAACACAAGTCTCATGGCCGCAGCAGCGGCAGCTGCAGCTGTGGCAGCGGCGGGGGGACCCCCAGTCCTCACCGCCCAGACCAACCCCTTCCTCAGCCTGTCGGGGGCGGACGGCAGTGGGAGCGGCCCCAAAGGAGGGGTGAGTAGGGGCTCCCGGGTCTTCCTGGATGCCTGCAAAGGGAGGTGCAGGGAAGGATGGTGGGGATCCCTGGTGCAGAGCCAGGAAAGAGCCACTGTGAGCCGGGCTGGTGGGAAAACAGTCAATCAGGAAACAGCCTTCCAGGGCGCAGGAATGTGGCTCAGCAGCACACGTGCCTGCCTGACAAGTGCAAGGTCCTGAGTTTGATTCCCAGCACCAGAAAAAAAAAAGACAGCCTTCCACTAGGTGTGTCAGTGCACGCACACCTGGAATCCCAACACTGGGGAGGCTGAGGCAGGAGGGGCACTGCAAGTTCGAGGCCAGCTTGGGCTACATAGTGAGTTCAAGGCCAGCCTGGACTATGTAGGGAGATCCATCTCAAGAAACAAAAATATCGAAGAAAACAAGCCTTCCCTGGGGTGATCTGTTAGGAAGAGATGGTTCTGTGGGGGCTGGAGGGAGAGGGCCATAGAGCACAGCCCTGGATGCTGTCCGTGGCTGCCACGTGCCTGGGTCTCACCACCCCCGTGGGGTCTGGTGTGCCCTGCTAGAGCGGGGCAGGAGGCTCCAGCCACCTCCCCTTCTGCACCCGGGAAGCTCCCAAGGCCCCAGCCTCCTTTCCTGTCTTTCCAGACCGCTGACAAAGGAGCCTCAGCGAACCAGGAGAAAGGCTAAGCCCACCATGCCCTGCCTGAGCCCTGCGTGGAGGGGACACATCCTGGCTGGAGGGGTCCAAGCCTGGAGCGGGCAGTTGGGCCCAGACACTGGCGAGCCTGGCCCAGAGCCCATGCAGAGGCCCCAGGCGCGTGGGGAGCGTGGTGCTGCGGACCGGGGCTGGGAAGGCACCTGGGATCGGGATCGGGCCCGTCCCTCGGCGCTGCCACCGGGGAGCTCGGGGTGCCTGGAGAGTGGAGAAGGCCACCGTGTCGCGCGTGGGGGGTTGTGCGACCCGCCACATAAAACAGATGAGCACTTGAACTTGGGAGAAGGGAAGGGGGGCCCGGGGCCTGGCCCCGCGTGGAGATCTAGGGAGGAAGGGGCCCCCACTTGGAGTTTCTTCCCCACCCGGGCAGGTGGCAAAAGGGTCCCTTCGACTGTTTCTCACTGTCCCTTTCCCCACCCAGGGTCACAAGCTGAGCTTGTAAAAGCCCACCGATACGGGGGCTGAGGAAGGGCAGGACCCCCGTGTCAGCCCAGGCCGCCGGCACCGGAGGGCCCCCGATGGGCGGGGAGCGCTGCCGTCCTCGGCACCCCCTCCTTGTTTGCACTATTGGCTTGAGGTGTGCCGAGGCTGGGGAGAGGCGTGAGTGCATGAGTGTGCGTGTGTGCGTGTGTCTGTCATCTGTCTTCCTTCCTCTGAACTGGGGAGCTGAGGGCAGGGAGAGGAGCCCCGGTCGGTGGCAGCAGGGATCTAGCTGTGCTCTGTGCCCGCCCCGCCTTGCATGCTCTGGTCCCTTTCGGGGCGTAGAGGGTCAGGGAAGCCCAGAAGTGCACCCTGCTACCAGAGCGCAGGGCTTTGAATTGGGGTACCAGCCTGCCTTCCGTCCCCCATACCCCGTTTGGTCTCAGGGTCCCCTGCCCCCTTCTTCCTTGGCATGGGGGAGAGCCCTGGGGCTTGGGGGATAGGGCAGGGGGGAGGGGGTAAAGTGCCACTTCTTTTAGGAAAAGTCCTGTTTCCGGAATTGGCTAGCCTGCCTCCCACCCCTGCCAATTGCAGAGCCACTAAACTGACGTACAGCTGTCCCCTCACCGACCAGCCGTGTCTGGGCACAGCGCGTAGCGCTCGCCCGGGTGCCTCATCTGCCTGGGCCTCCGGCACCAGGGTGGGGTCGGGTAGGGGAGCTGTGCAGTTGCACTGGGATGGATGCCCTGTCCGTCCCTCCGTCCATCCGTCTGTCCAGCTTGCATGTGTGCGTAACTGTGTGTTTCTGCTCGGGGGTTTGTTGTTGGGTTTTTTTTTTTTTTTTAATAAAGAAAAGAAGATGTGTATATTTTTGGCAACGACAGAAATGTAGTGCAGATATATTTTTGCCTGTGCTGCTCAACTGTTTTTTTTTTCTGATACGGAAAATAATATTAATATTCCCATTGATAAGACTTTGTAAGATGTTAGGGCGCTAACGGGCGGTGGGTGGGAATCCTTCCAAGGAGATTTCTTAGGCACTTGCAAGGGCTTGGGGTGGGGGGGATGGGCAGTTGTGATGACCTCGAAATACTCATTTTTTTTTTAATTAAATGCTAAATATCAGTTAGAAAGACATGTTAGAACTGAGCATTTTATTCATCTTAATCTCTTCTGCTCTTTAACTCCCTGTCCCCACGCCACTGTAAAACAAAATAACCTTCAGAGATTCTTAAAAGAGTTGCTCCTTCCCACCCTGCCCTTGCCCAAGACTGAGGCCACTCTTGTCCCCTGTCCTCGTGGAAGGGAAGGGAGGTCACGCCGAGGCTGCGGTGTGAAGGCAGGGAATGGTTTAGTGCACTGGAACCAAGACACTCCTAGCATGCCCTCTCCACCCATCCCAGCCCCAGTCACCTCCATCTCTGGCTCTGTCCCCCAAATTTCCCAAGCCCTTAGTGCCCCCTAGATGGGGAGGCCACAGCAGGGAAGCCAGGCTTGGGGACGTGGGACACAGGCCAGCCAAAAGCCCACTAGGAAAGCTATGAAGACCCTCAGGAGGGGCGGGGCACAGATGCAGGAGGCTGTAAGGCCCTCACCCTCTCCGGGTCTCAGTCCAGCTTCCGACAACATGGGCGGGGGTGGGGTGGGGTGCAGATTTGTGGTGCTGTCTCGGGGAGGGGAAGGATGTGGTTTGCAGAGCGGAAGTGCAGTCTGCGAATGCTTGGCTGGAGCTTCGTGTCCCCACCCTCAGCAGGGAGGTGTGAGTGGGTGTGCGAGCCAGGCCCCTGCTGGCCCAGGGGTCCTACCTGGGGGTGGGGCATGTCAGCTGGCCCTTGGCTTCCCTGGTGACAGCTGCAAGCCCAGATGGGTGGGGGACTCAGCGCCTGGTCTTCAGCTCCCCTGCAGGCTTTCTGCGTGTTGCGTGTGTGTGAGTGAGTGTGTGTGTGTGTGAGACGTGTGGGCTGTGCTGAGGTTGGAGCCTGTTTGTTGTAGCTGTGGGCACTACCCGGCTATTCATAGACAATGAACTTCAAGGGGTGCCTTTTAAAGTTTGTCCTACTTGTGGGTTTCAGGCTCTGGGGTCTCCTGCTGCCTCACGGGGTCCCTGATGAGGTTGGTGAGACCTGTGCTGAGACCTAGAGAAGTGGTCACCCCAGACTCAGAGAGCTCAGACTAACCAGACAGGTGCATGAGCCAGGGTCAGCTCTGAGGGAGTGACCTTCACATGTCCCTGTCCCTTCACATGTCCCAGGCTGGAAATGGTGGGTGGGTTTGCCAAGGCCCAGGCCCCTCTGCCAGCTTGCAGTGTCTTCCTGGTGTGCAGTGGGCCAGAGTGTGGGGTGGCAGCTCGTCCCTGTTCCTTATCCTGGGGAGAAGGGTGGAGGGGCTTTCTACTGGGGATGGAGGGAAGTAGGGCCAGACAGCCCTGGTTACCCCCAGGCCCATGAAAATGCCTCTCCTCTCACCAGGCTGCTTTGTCTGGCTCTGGAGAGCTGGGGTGGTGCCCAGTTGTCCACTGCCCGCTCTCTCCAGCCCAGCGTGGAGTGGGGTGGTGGGACTGCAGACCCAGACCCTGATGTCCCTTTTGGTCCCAGCCTGTATCCGTACAGCAGACCCTTCCCAAGCGGGTAGGGAGGGGAAGCCTCAGTTTGCAAACCCGGAGGCCTCCCTCTTGCTAAAGCCTCCTTTATATCCTCAGCCCGAAAGGTAGTGTCCCCACCCTGCACCTTCAAGCCCAGAATTGTGCATAACCCGGATCCTGTATCTTTGTATAACGGATGTTATTTGTACGAAGGGCAGTTCGTAAACAGCACTTGTTCTTTTAATAAAAGACTTTTACAAAAAAAAAATTCCAAAGAGAGACCCTGCTTTGTCTGGCTTTACTAAGGTCAGGGGAGGCCTGCCAAGGGAAGGTGGGGTGTGGTCTGTGCCCCTCCTGTACTGGGAAGAGTGGCTCGCCGCCTGTGCACCGGGTGATGCAAGGAGCCCCTGGAAACTGCGGGCCGGCTGTCGTGGCAGAACTATTGCCCCCATCCGTACTGGAGATTGAATTGAACCCAGGACCTTCGCATTGAGCGATGCCCCAGGCCTGTTTTGTTACTGCTTTTTCATTTACGCAGGGTATAGCGAAACTGCCCAGGCTGGGCTGGAACTTAGGACCCTCCTGCCTCAGCCTCCCAGACAGCGCGATAGTTGTTAAGCTGGTTGATAAGCCGTACCCAACCTGCGCTTTCCCTAGCGACGGGCGGCGGGCCGGGACGAGGCGTCAGCAGACAGGCCCTGCCGAGGGCTCCTGGGGAGGCCCACTGCGAAACCTGGGCGGAAGCGAGGCTGCGGGCGGGCACCTGCTGGGCTTCCGGGCCGCCCCCTCCCTTGTCCCCTTCGCGGAGCAGTGCAGCGTCTTCCGGCCCACCCCAAGCCCAGGGCGGAGCGCAGAGCACTTGGGAGCCCGACTCTGCGAGCCGCGGCTGTGCGCGCGGAGAGGGCGGTCCTGCGGTCCCGCCCAGCCGATGGCCCCGCCCCCAGCTACCTGGCCCCGCCCCGAGCAAGCGCTAGCTCCGCCTCCTGGCCCCGCCCGCTCTCCGGCTCGCCCCAGCAGGGCCAAAGCCCCGCCCCGCGCCCGCCCCAGTCCGGGAGCGTCCGAGCCGCCGTGCGTTGTGGCCTCCTCGACCTATCGCGTCCCTTTGCAGCCCTTTCCGCAGCCGAGCGCTTACGGCGTGCCAGGACCTGCCCAGCAAGGGCCCTTCTGTGACCCCTCCCCTTATCCTCCGGCCTCCCCCCTCAGCCCGCGAGTCCGCCGCCTCCTCCCTCCGCGATGGCTTTCCGGCGTCCTCCCCTCTGCACCGAGTCAGTTTTTCTGTTTCCAAACCACATCTGCCTGCGTGCGTTGCAGAAGCTCGGCCAGAGGCGGGACATCACCTCCTGGCTGGTGAGTGGCCCCAGCGTCCCCGCTCCCCGCACACGTCCCCCAGTTCCAGAGACCCCCAGACACGGAACCAGGAAGGGACAGCCCTGCCTCAGCCTGCAGCGCTGGTCTAGGGCACGGGGACGTGGCGTGGACCAGGGCCCCGCGCGGAGAGCCGGCTTCCTTCCGCCGGCCGATGCAGGCCCCGGGGTGGTGGCCGCGCCTCCCAGCGCCGTGGGGGCTGGGGCTTGAGGGGGGACAGCTGGACTCCGCACCCCGATGCCTACATGGCCTCCACTCCTTGCTCTCTGAAGTCCAGGCTCCCTAGGTTGTCCTGGGGGATGTCCTCGCCGAGTGGCACCGGGGCCCGTGAGGGCCTGGACAGCCTGGGCAGGGCACGGGCTGACCCATAGGCCTGCATTCTTCTGGCCACAGGCCCGATGGTTCCCGAAAACCCCAGCCAAGGCCGTGGTGGCCCAGAAAGAGCCCATCAAGGTGGAGCTGGTGGCAGGGAAAACCTACAGGTGGTGCGTGTGTGGCCGCAGCAAGAATCAGGTGAGTGCGGAGGGGCTTCCTCTCCCGCCTTCCAGGGGCAGCTGGGCCGAGGCTCCAGGCAGAGGGACCCCGCGCGGAGCAGATTCTGCTGGGCCTTCCGTGTCCCCCAACCAGTCCCACCTCCCAAAACACCCTCCCCTTTCGCCACGAGGTGACTTTGCCTTCTCAGCCTGCCACCTGCTTGCTGCCTGGCAATCGGGAACCCTGCCCAGCCCAGGTTCCTAGCCCCGGGCCCTTTTTCCTTCCCTTGCAGAGTTCAGAACTGTGTCCCTCCAGCCATGTGGGTGGTGGCAGCAACCCTGGGTCCCCAGTCCCGCTTTGCTGCTGATTTGTGTAGCCTTTAGGCAGCTTTCCTGGCGGCAGAGTGTTGCTTGGGAAGCCAGCCAAGGAATGCTTGGGGGGAGGGGGAGGTGCTTGTGCCCGTGCCCCATGCCCTTTGGAACAGGTTGCCGATTTTTATTTGCACACTTCCTTCCGCCCTACCCTGACCTCAGCTCTGCCCCTAACTTGCACGGCACACCCCCTTTTGGGCCCGCGTTTCCAAGGGCCTGGCTCTGCCTGAGCCACTTCCAGGATGGACAGGGCACCGACTGGATCAGGCCGGCGCGAGGCTGGAGGCCGTGGCCTTGTCCGGGTCCCAGGCCCAGCTGTTTCCCAGAGCCAGACAACCACTCCTAGCTCACGCCAACCCCAAGTTTTCACCTGAGGGATATGCGGGAAGGAAATGAATTTCGTGGACCTGTGGAGACTCAGTCATTAGAAACAAAACCTGTGGTACAGACACTGCTGACCCCTGAGTCTTGTTCTGTCTTGCGAATAGCCCTTGTGTCCTGGCTTCTGGGTCCCCTCCAGACTAATGCTGTGAACACTGAACACCAAGATCATTTCTTACTACTACTATCCTCCTGCCTCAGCCTCTAGTGTGCTGACAGGTGTGTGCTATCACACCTAAGGAACATTACTTTTTTTGTTGTTTTTTTGAGACAGGATTTCACTGTGTAATTCAGGTTGGCCTTGAACTCACTATGTACCTCAGGCTGTCCTGGAACTCAGTGATCCTCCTGCCTCAGCCTCCCAAGTGCTGGGATTACAGGTGTACAGCACCACACCCGGTCATTAACTTTTATTTCTTCATGATAACCCTACTTCTCAAATTAAGGCAGAGGTGACAGAGTAGTCTAAGCTGTCCCACCCCAGAGCTTGGCCTCTAGAGAGGTCCCTGCTGTGGCAGGCAGCACTGACTTCTCTTTCTTTCCCTTCAGCCCTTCTGTGACGGCTCTCACTTCTTCCAGCGCACAGGCCTTGCCCCACTCAAGTTCAAGGCCCAGGAGACCCGCATGGTGGCCCTCTGCACCTGTAAGGCCACTCAGAGGCCCCCGTACTGCGATGGCACCCACAGAAGTGAGAAGGTGCAGAAGGCAGAAGTGGGCACCCCGCTCTGAGGCACCAGGTAGCCTTGGCTACAGGCCTGGCAGCCACCCCTTTGTGGGAAGGAAATCGAGTGCTGATCCCAAGAAGGGACCGTCCAGTCCCCACATCCAGCTGTGAATAAAGTGCCCGCTGTAACTGAGGTGCCAGTGCGTTCAGCCAGGAGTGGGTACCTGGTTCAGTGTGCTGGGGATAATGGCAATTATATGAAACAGGCAAGGCCAAGCATGCGTGTGATTCCGGCACTAGGGAAGCTGAAGCAGGACGATTGCCAAGAGTTTGAGGCTAGTGTGGGCTATGCAGTGAGTACAAGCCCAGAACTACATATACCAAGACCCTGCCTCCCAAAACAAAACCTAAAAATAAATAAAACAGCTGTCAATCAATCAATCAATCAGTCAATCAATAAATCAGCCACCAAGCCCACGAAGAGTCGTGTCCCTTGTGGTGACTAGTGCGACGCACAGGCAATGTCCCTGTGTGTGGGGGCTGAGAGTGCCTGGGAGCTCTGAGAGGAGAGGGGGCTTCCCTTCCCTTCTGTCCTGCCGCGGCCCGAGTCAGCTGCTCCCAGACAGAAGCCCCCCTCCCCTCCCTCACCCCAAAGAAGGACGGGCTCCGGAGAGTATGCAGCATTTATTACAAAGCCACGGATACAAATGTCCCAGGTGGGAGGATACAGTCACAGGTCCTCGGACAGGGCGCAGCACACAGACAAGCCCCTGGGTTGTGAGGTCTGGCGTCTCCATGGGACCCAATAAAGGGGGGGTGGGACCGGCTAGGCCCCGCCCAAGGTAGGCGTGGCACCGCTCAGGGGGCGGGGCCGGGGCTTCCTGGTTTGCTTCCTCTTGTGCTTCTAGATGGCTGTCACTGTCCTGACCCAGCCTCAGCTGAGGGTGGGAGGGCCGGAGGGCTATTTGCCTTTGACAAAGCCTGAGCTCTGTGCTTGTCACCTTTCCACCCCAAGAGAGACATTGCCACCTTGCAAGTGAGGGTTCCTGGGCCAGGCTAGCGCCCGGGGGTGCAGGGGTGCACAATGCTAAAGCCACACAGGGCCGCCCCAGGGCTGGCGCCGCTGGTGGCTCAGTCTCCTCCACACGGTTAGCCGGCACCGGCCGCTCACCTGGGGCGGGGAAGGCAGAACGATCTACTCCTTGAACAAAGCCAACAGCGAGTGAGGATGGGGAGACTCCTTGTCCACGCCCACCTGCTCCTCGGAACCAGGGACAAACTGCACTTGGGAAAGGCACTGTCTTCGCGATTCTCTGCACATTCAACAACGCGGGGCTGGGCAGGGGCAGGGCGGCAGCCCCGGTGGGGAGAGAACCTGTATCTAAAGCTCTGGGGCTCCCTGATAACCCATCTGCTCTGGGAAGCATATGGGGCAGGGCTTTACCAAGCCCCCAGGCTCCCTCGTGCCTACCTCCAGGCACCCCCAAAAAGGACAGAGGACAGCCGGGCCTGGTGGTCCACACCTGTAATCTCAGCACCTGGGAGGCTGAGACAGGAGGATCACCATGAGTTCAAAATCAGCCTGGGCTACATAGTGAGTTCATAGCCAGCCTGGACTACATAGCTAGTCTCAAAACAAAAAAAGTAGAGCACATTACACAAGACCCCACCTAAAAACGAACACCCCATCCTCACACATACACACACACATACAGTTTGTTTCTTGTGGAATTTAAATTAATCTGGTTGGTCCATAGAAAATAAGTATGTATATTTGGTTTTTCCTATGTACATATATATATAGATTTATTTATAAAACCCACCCCCCACCTCTACGGTGGGAAAAGCTGGGGAGTGGAAGAGGTGGAAAAAAGGGCCCAGAAAAAGTGAAGTAGAGAGGGGGGCCAAGGAGGGTCCCCTCCTCAAGTCAAGGGGGGCACAGGCACGCCGTTGACAGTCACCTTGCGCCCCCTGCTGGTGGAGGATGCGGTCTGCAGGCAGTTGGAGGCGGCCCCGTTGGCACTGGCCGAGGCCCCACCGGCTGTAGCAGGCGGGGTGGGGGAGGTAGGGTGGGTGGCTGGGGGCCCGTGGGAGCTGGGAGAGCCGTGGGAGGGGGTGGCAGGGCTGGGCAGGGAGGAGGAGGTGGCCGGCAGAGTGGCGGGACTGGGAGCCTTGTCACTGACGGACTCACACTCGGAGGCCCCGCTGGTGTTGGTGCCTTCCGACGGGGTGGGCAGCGTGGGCAGCGTGAGCCGCTTGCAGGCCGGCTGGACGCGGTACTTGAGGGGGAGGGGGCCGTTCTGCGCGGACAGGGAGGAGAGAGGCGGAGAAGTGGGGTCAGGAGCAGCACCCACGGGCCCCCCAGCCCCACAGCACAGCACCCAGCACAGGGACAGAGGGGCAGACTGCAGGCCAGGCCAGAGACAGGCACATACGACGATCCGGGGACAGAGACTTGCAGAGAAAATAGGAGAGATGGACATGGAGAGCATTCCCTCCTCCGAAGTCACCAGCTCTTTGAGGGGGTTGGTTTGAGAGGGTCTTGCTATGCAGTTCAGGCTGGCCTCAAACTCAGCAATCCTCCTGCCTCAGCCTCCCCAGTGCTGGGGCTATTAGCATGGGCCACCACACCCAGCTTTAAGGCCTGTTTCTGACCAGAGATCTGGCTACAGAACAGGCCAGAACAGCCCAGCAGGGGTCTCCTTCCCAGCCCCCCACCCACCCCACTGCTCACCCGCCGCCAGGGATAGATGTAGGCAATGTCCATGAGCGTGTAGTATTCCTTCAGGGGTTCATCGTCATACAGAACCTCCACCTGGGGACCGAAGGGGTCACCTGGTCAGTGACAGGGTTCTGGCTGTGGGAGCTGGGTGCATGGGAGGGCAGAGGTGTGCAGTGTTGGGGGGTCTGCACGTAGCCCCTTCTCTAAGGATCTGACATCTCTGCCACAGCTGGCCGAGCATAGCGTCTGACCGCCAGGCGGGAAGGAATCCCTGAAGATACCTCCTACATTACCAGCTGAGCCTCATTCCGCACTGCCCAGTCCCCTTTGGTCCAGAGGCCTTCTAGGGGGTTGCTAAAGTCAGGAGCAGTTGTAGACACCAGCTCTCCTCTGCTGCACGGTGCCCATCCAGGGGCATAGAAAAGCAGCTCCAGGAGTTCTGATCTAACTGGCGAGAGAGGCTGGGATCCCGTGCTACGGCCGTGGGACTCAGCGTCTGTCCTCTCACTGCCCCTGGGCTCTTGGTGTGATGCTCCGTGCCTGGGAGCTTGTTGGAAGAGCAGAACCAGCCACATGGGAATCTGCATTCTAACAAGAGCTCTGGGGATCAGGGCCATGCTCAAGGTTGAGAAGCCACTCTTAGAACTCCTGGGACTCCCATGGTCTCACTTTGTAGCCCAGACTGGCCTCGAACTCACAGCAGTCCTGCCTCAGCCTCCCGAGCGCACCGTGGCCTGGCGACACTCCCGTCTGGAGAAGGCCTGCTCACCTTGTACTTGCTGGGCACGTCCATCTTGTTGCGGAGGAACTTGGCGAGGTGCATGACGGTCATGGCAGCCGGGCATCGCAGGAAGCGCACCCCGGTCTGCTGGCGGAGGGCGCTGTGTCAGCTCGGCCTGGCCACTCCCTCCAGCCCAGCCTCGCCCCGGCCGGCCCCACACTCACCTTCTCCTTGTCCCCATCCCCATTCTCCAGGGGACCCTTCTTCTCGTCCCGGTCCCTGCAGCAGGAGGAGGGAGCAAGCTGGAGGGACCCTAAGGCGCTCAGCCCGGAGCCCGCCAGGGATGGGCCGCGGGGAAGGAGGGAGACCCGGTCCGGACTTGCCTGACGCCCTCGTAGAACTCGATGGAGAGGCTGACGATCTCGTCATCGCTCAGGGACCCCTTGTCCTGCTCCAGGACCTCCCCGCGGTCCTCGTTGGAGCCGTTGGGGACTGCAGGAGAGAGCTGGAGGGTTGGCCGGGGACAGGGAGGAGCTGCGCCCAGGACCTGGGGCCCTGCGGCCCGGCGGGGCGCAGCGGGGCAGTGGGAGCCGGGCCCGGCAGGAGCACACTCACCCTCTGTCAGCGGGTACGCCGCGTAGAAGTCGCGCCGCCGCTTCATCTCATCTGCAGGGAGGAAGAGCGGGGTGAGGGCCTCAGCCTGGGGGCGTACAGGGCAGGGCACGAAGGGTGCGTGGTACCTTTAAACAGCCCGGGGACCAGCTTGTACACGATGTCCTGGAGGGTCTTGTCAGATCTGGGGAGGGACACACAGGCCACCATCAGCCACCCTGCTTCTGTTGCTGTGGGCTCCCCAGCCAGCCACCTCCCCTCAGACACAGGCCTGGGCTCCCCTCCTCTGCCCGTCACCCCCTAGGCTCTCCCAGCCCACACACCAGAACCGGCCCCAGTGGGCCCATGCCCTGCTGGTAGGAACCCACAGCCCTGGCTGTGGAGGAGGATGGCCGGGGTGGGGCGGGCGGGCCCACCTGATACTCAGCAGCGGCCGGGTTTTGTGAACCTGCACGTCACACATCGGGCAGTACTTGTTCGTCTCCAGGTAGCGCACGATGCAGGTTTTGCAGACTAGGGCATGCAACAGAGAGAGACCGTCAGAGCCCTTCCCAGCCCATGCCCGGCCCCCACCCTGGCACAGCTCCAGGTGCCCAGCTCGTCTGCACCACGTCCCTGTCGCACAGCCCCACCAGAGGCCCCTCATGGTAACCCAGGGCTGCACCCTTGGCTTCTTCCCCTGTCCCTCCCGGGGGACTGTATCGGCATGTAGGAAGCTCAGTGGGGTCTCAGACAGCAGACCACTGAGCCCCAAGCCCTAGGCCCCCTGTTAAAACACCTCCAAGGCCCTGACCTCTTACAACCAGGCCCATGCGGCCAACAAGGGGCATCCGCATTTTCAGGGGTAAATTTCAGCCTCAGAGACTCAGGAGAGAACCAAGAGTTCTAGATTTGAGCCAGGCATGATGGCACACACCTGTAACCCCAGCATTCAGGAGGCTGAGGCAGGAGGATTGTCACAAGTTCAAGGCCAGCCTGAGCTACACAGTGAGAACCTGTCTCAAAACATAAAAATTCCCCCAAAAACATAATAAAAAAGGATTTCTAGATATGAGTCCCCAAAATGAACTCCTGTTTGGCAACTGCTCTGTCCAGACAGCTGCTCTGTGACCTAGGGGTCTTCAAGAGACACGTGCCCAGGTCTACTTTCCAATGGTGGGGGGCTGTGACCCAACGCCCTGCAGTCCTGCAGTCCTGCAGCAGCGGCCCCCTGCTGGCCCGAGGAGCAGCCCCACGCCCACTCACAGGAATGCAGGCACTCCACGATGGTGGTGGCGTCGATGAAGTAGCCCCCGCAGAGGGCACACATGAGGTGAGGGTTCAGCTCCGTGATTTTGATCCGTGTGGTCCGATGCATGATGCTGGGGTGGGGTGGGAAGCCAGGGAGTGTCACCCTGGAAAACAGAAGTAGAAGGAGAGGGGCTGGGGATTTAGCTCAGCGGCACTGCGCCTGCCTGGCGAGCGCAAGGTCGTGAGTTCGATTCCCCGTACTGGGGGCGGCGGGGCGGGGGGAGAAGTAGAAGGAGAAACTCAGAGATCTGGTAGCCCTGCTCTTACTCCAGCCACGCCTGAGTCACACCTAAGGGCAGCACTTCTCTGCCTGCAGGTGGGACTGGGCAGCGGCATGTGGCCCTCTGGGCATTCGCTGGTTGCTGGAGCCTAAAGATCCATTTGACATTTGAGCAACAGAAGCCAGGCACACCTGTTATCCCAGCACTCAGGAGGCTGAGGCAGGAGGATTGCCACAAGTTTGAGGACAGTCTGGGCTACCTAGTGAATTTAAGGCCAGCCTGTACTGCATGGTGAGACCTTGTCTCAAAAAAAAAAAAAACAAAAAAAACAAAAGCCAGTTGTGGTGGAAGCTGTAATCCTGGCACTCAGGAGGCTAAGGCAGGAGGATCACCATGAGTTCAAGGCCAGCCTGGACACTATATAATGAGGCCCTGCCTCAAAAAAAACTAAGGAAAAAGAACAAACCCAAACATCTGAGCAACACAGCCAGACAGAAACAGCAGGAAAGCCTGAAGTCTGACCATAAGAAAAAAACACTACCCGACTTTCCAGCGAGTGGGGGAGGCAGGCACAACATTGAGAAGGGTTTTTATCTTTATTTTTTGGGGGTGTTGGGGATTGAACCCAGGGCCTTGCATATGTTAAGCAACTGCTCTGCCCCTGAGTAGAGTTTTTTAAAATCTCCCTATCCCTATCCCCATCAACTGGCTGAACATTTATGGAGCATTAGGCAGTAGGAGGAAACTCCGATAATATGTCACTGCCTTCAACCTCAAGGAATCAAAGGGGAGAAGTCGCCCACCCTCCACCCCACTAGGCTCCTGGGTCATACAGCGAGGCCTCCTGCCTCTGCTCCAGGAAGCCTCCCTGGGAATGCCATGGACTAGCCACCCTAAGTGTGGAGGTGACAACCGTCCCATGTGTAGCCCAAGCCTCAGCACCACGCTCCTCTGAAGTTGCCAGGGACAGTCGGCTCCCTGAAGGCCATCGGGCGCTGACCACTTGGCTCCCAGGCCTGGCACTCAGGTGGATGAGAACGCCCCTCCTCTGCCCCAGGCTGGGAACATTCAGCTCTAGCTCCAGCCCGCCCCAAAGTCCAGGAGCCCAGGTCAAATGACTGCTAGTGCCCCGCGCATGGGAATCCCTCCTCTGTGCCCAAGACGGCCCAGTGGGCACATGTGTTCGGGTCCTCCCTTTGGTGCACACACAGGAATTTCCCTGCATGGGCACTGTCACCATTTCCAGCCCTAGAGACCCGGGTGCTACTTGTCCCCAGCCTGCCCAAGCGCTCGGCTAGGCTGGCAGGGCCAGCAGGTCAGCCCAGGGCGGCCCCAGATGCGCCTCAGGGCCTGCGTCTCAGGACAGATCCAACCTGCAGTCGGCCAGCCAGGCCACCTTCCCTCCCTCTTTCCCAGCAAGGAAGCCAGGGCGGGACCCGGGAGGGTGGCCAAGCCCAGCAGTCCTTTTACCACTCCTCACACCCTACTTTCTTTTCCAGCAAGATTTCTAAAGCCACAACACTGAGTTTTGGAGGACACGAAATTCACAGCCAGGATCAGCAGTTTCTATAGAGACCCCAGGATGAGCCTGGCCAAGGTCCCAAACAACCAGCAGAAGCCCAGGGCACCTGGCCAGAGATGGAGAGCGACAGACACACAAAGGACACACGCAGGAGAGAGACCCAAGTACGGTGCGACAGAGGGGAACCCGCCGGCCCAGAGGCAGGCGAGGACGGGCAGGCCCGGCCTGAGCAAGGGAGGGGGTCCCTGGCCCGCACAGGGTGGCCTTGGCCAGCCCTCCCTGCGTGGGTCCTCCTGCACAATTACACAGGAGGCCGCCCGCTGGCTACTCCACTGTTTGGGCGTTTCCATAGTAACCCTGGCCCTGGCAAGATGCCCAAATATTATTACAACCATCCGAGGAGAGAACAACTTCAAGCGGCTGTCCCTGGAGCGTGTGCAATCCCCACCAAGTGCAGATGGGTCGTCAGGGCCGCAGAGACAGTGTGGCCGCGCGTCCACGTCCAGATGTGTCCGCGCAGGATGTGCACGAAAGATGGACAACAGGGGCCCAGGCCTCGGGAGCACACCTTTGAACACCACAACACGCACGCGCACGCAGGCCCTTCACGCCGCCTTGGCCACCTCACTTTGGTCCACACAAGTGCCCCACTGCAAGCGGCTGCACCCCCCACCCTCTCCTTCCTGGAGAACTCAGGCTGCCCCCCTTGGACCAGGGCCGAGTGAGGAGGGGCACAGCGCTCCTCCTGCTCCCCCTTGCATCCCAGGAGACCTGGAAGGCCACCTTGGGGTGAGGGTGGGGGAAGCACTGATTGGCTTCTCACCTGATTGCCATGGTTACCCGTGGAGCAGGAGGCAAGAGCAACAGTAAACAGGAGCCGCTTCCCCACAGCATCCCTCCCCCTCCCGGCCCGAGTGGGGGCCACATTCCTCCCTGACACCCAGGTCCGACCCTGGGGAAAAAGAGGGAAGACAGCTCCCCAAAACCAAGAAAGGGGACGGAGGCCATTTGGCAGTGACCTCAGGGGAGTGCAGGGGTGCTTTTTCTGGGGGGACGGGTACTGGGGATTGAACCCAGGGTCTCTGCACTGAGCTATATCCGAAGCCCTTTTTAAAAACTTTTTTGAGGGGGGCCGGGGACTAGCTAAGATTCTAAGTCACCCAGATTGGGCTTGAACTTGCAATCCTCCCGCCTCAGACTCCAAGAGTGCTGGGATAATAGGTGTGTGAAGGCTCCAGCAGAATTTAACAAGCCAAGCCAGTTCTGACTACATTCACACGGAGTTCTAAAATTTTCTTTCTTTTTTGTTTTTGTTTTTTCTGGTACTGGGAATCGAACTCACGACCTCGCCAGGCAAGTGCTGTGCTGAGCTAAATCCCCAGCCCCTCTTTTTTTTTTTTTTTTTTTAAGAAGAGGTCTCACTATGCAGTTCAGGCTGGCCTCAAACTCACAGTGATCCTCCTGCCTCAGCCTCCTGAGTGCTGGGATTATAGGCATGCACCACCATACCTGGCTACCACGCAGAATTCTAGATCCCAGTCTCTCTCCCCACACTTGGCACAGCCTCTGCCTCAGCAAGGGTCCAGGACCCTCAATATCTTCTGCCCCCCATGCATACCGTGAGCTCCTTAGGTGGCCCCAAGTGGGAAAGCTGTCAACACCCAAGTGCCCTCCACACCTCTGTCCTAATGGCCACTGGCCCCCAAGGAGGCCTCTCCTGTCCGCTGCCTCACTGTCTCCTGGACAACAGCTACTGTGCTCAGCCTGCCTTCTCCTGCTCCATGGCAGGACTCTCCAGGTCTTGGAAGGGTCACCGAAGGTCACACTCAGATAGCAGAGGCAGAATGATCTTAGAAAGCATGCTGGGTCCGAAGCCACCCAGCACAGCAGCGTGGTCCTGGGACAAGGTTCCGCCTACCTCCTGCGCTGGTGCTTTTCCCGGGCTGCCAGGCAGGGCTCCCCACTGGCAGCCTAACCCCATCAGGTGGGGGTGGTTACCTGGCGTGCAGGAGACCCCAAGGTGGACCTTCAGGGCGCGAGAGGGTCCCGACTGGCCACCACGGACCCTCAGCACCCATTCTGCCTTGAAGGAATAAGAGAGGGCAGCTGGGGCAAGACGGAGGGCAGCGCTGCCGCTCAGGCCCTGCTCTGAACCTCTCCCGCTCCGTTGCCCGGGGTTCCAGGCTACCCGGGCTGCCCTGGGACACTGTAACTCTCCACTCAATTTTCCCAGATCTTTTTCTTTTTTCCCTCAGTACTAGAGGTTGAACCCATGGCTTTCACACTGAGCTACATGCCCAGTCCTTTTTTATTTTGAGACAGATTCTCACTAAATCACTTAGTTGCCCAGGCGAGGCTCAAACTTGTGAGCCTGCTGTCTCAGCGTCCCAGACTGCTGGGATTACAGTTGTGCATGACCATGCTGAGCTGTCCCCTAATCACGGACATTGGCTCAGGGCCCTGCTTCCTTGTGTGTCCCCTACAAAAAAAAAAAAAAAAAGGAAAAAGGCCTCAGGCTTCCTGAACCTGGCCTTATTCTATCTACCCCACCCCTCCTTTCCCATCTCTCAGCGCCTAAGATCAAAGACAAAACCCCAAAATCGACACACACAGTAACAAACTGCCGGGCACGCCCCCTCCATCTCCCACACTCAAACACACAGGGCCAGGCAGACTGGGAGCCGCACGCGCACACCCGCACACACCCAGCCCACCCCGACATCCCTGCTCGAAGCCATCCCTCTGTGCGTCCCTCCCGGGGTAAATGAGAACCTTCGGCTTCCGGCAACAATGGCAGCTCAGCCGCCACCCCCTCTGGGGCAGGCGGCACTGACCTGCACGAAGAAGCAACCTCTTCCCCTTCAGGCGCTCTCCGTTCCCACGGCAACGGCTACATCAACCAAGCTCTGCCCGGAGACCCGGACAGCCGTGCGCCCCTTCCTGCCCACCTCCCAAGACTTGACCCGCACGGGCCGAGACCCGGGGCTGGATCCCCAGCTACGCTCCCCGCCTCTTCCCAAACACACTTCCAAGGCCTCAAGCCCCAACCTCAAACCAGGGGATCCCCTGGGACCACCTCCCTCCCCCTCAAAACCTCTAACAGAGCTAGCTTTATACTCTTTCTCCAACTACTGTAGTAATAACACCTCTGGCGAGGCGGAGGGAGGGCCGAATCGGAGTTTCAGGAACAGCGCGAACTGTGAGAGGCCAGAGCAGGAGGCCCCTCCCCAGCCAGGGGAGCCCCAAAGAGTCTGAGGCAGCGTGGGGGGCGGAGCAGGGGTGCTGGGAGACAAAGACCCCAGGAAAGCCCGCAGAACACTTCTGCAGGATTTCTAGGCAAATTCGCCCACCCGCGGAGCCT